TTTTCGAAGTTAAAATCAATTTTCCAATCCCTAGAAAAAATTCCTGCTAAATTCAGCATCTTTTTGAGGTCACTTTCACTATTGGCAATTAGCACAACATCATCAGCCCAGAATAAACTTCCTGTCCATTTATCTTTAACTGTAACACCAACATTATTTGATTCTAAAAGCTTTTTCAATTCATTGATAAATATACAAAAAAGTGTAGGAGAAAGGATACACCCTTGTTTCACTCCTTGTTCAATCGAAAAAGGCTCAGTGAATATATCACCAAACCTTACTTGCCCTTCAACATTTTGATATAATTTATCAATAAGTCTCCACACTTTATCCCTTATTCCTACATTCCATATAGACTTAAATAAGCCTTCCCTCCATACACTATCAAATGCCTTTCGGAAGTCCAGGAAGGCCATATAGGTGTTTTTTCCTTCTGCCAATCTATATGCAGCAATGCTTTTTAGTGTAAAGATATGGTCTTCACACCTATGTTGAGATCTAAAGCCTCCCTGCACTTCCAAAAGGACATTTTCATTTTCCAGGAAGTCAGTTATTGAGAAAGCAATAATTCTGTTAAAAATCTTAGACACACATGATGTTAAAGATATCCCTCTGTAATTGTTTAGATCTAGTCTACTACCTTTCTTAAATATTGGTATTATGATTGATTTATTCCAATCATATGGGATTTCCTCTAATTCATTGATCCTTTGGAACATACCAAGGAGAGAGTGCTGAATATGTTCTGCACCATTCTTAAACAGCTCATTAGTTATTTCATCATGACCTGGTGCCTTATTATTTCTGGCCTGTGTTAGAGCAGTAGAAACAATATCTTTGCTTAATTCTATATTATACAAAAAGTTATGTTCAGTACCACTAGAGGTGCACATATTGTTATCCTTTGTTAATTACTTAATGATCACAGTGTACCGCTGCCTTTCAACTACCAAATTTACTCTGCACATGCTCAGTCTTACAATTAATCAATCTGTGATAATCTTAGTCATTAGACTATTTTATCTGAAGAGTGCTGCACCATGTATGTGTAGCACGAAACTAAATAGTAATAAATATGTCTAATCAAAGCTACATATATATATATATATATATATATATATACAAATGAATTTTTATGGCTCTTTCAAATTTCACCAATGGAGGGCAAACACAACCAAGGATATAATTGTATTTTATCTGCAATTTCAGATTAAACATTGCCATTCATGACTAATCTCACATAGGTTTATCAACCCACAAATGGTGCCAAAGGTCTGAATGTCTTCACTAACATAATTACCCTCTTATCTTTTGATATCTGATATAAAAACATTATTACATTGAATAGTATCTAAATGTGATCTAAAAAAAACTATATAATCGATTTCACTTAATTATAATGTGAACAAAAAATGCTCCACCTGGTATAGATCTATAGCAATTGAGACATTCGTACGTGTACATTATCTAAAAAAAAACATAATTTGTTTACGTTTGCAGATAAGCTGCTGACGCCAACCTTTTTGTACTATTTCTTTGTACGAGCTTGGTATTCTGACAGCTCTTACGCCATTTATCGTTCAGATGGAATCACACTAGACACCCGTCCTCCTGATGTAACGTCAAGAACTGGGATAGCTGTGAGTTATACAAACGAATATCAAATTTTCATACTAAATAATCATTCTCAAAATGATTTATATATTACCGGTAGTCAGCGGTGGCTCCAGAAATTGGACGACATGGGGTCCGAACCAAGGGGCCGACTATAGCGTCGGTCAGGGTCCCGGAAAAATTCCTGGTAGGATTCAAGAAGCAAGTTTTTATGGCTTAGTTTGGCGCAAATCTTGCAATGATAGGCAATCAAATAGCGTTAATAGGATAGCGACCTTGTAGTAGCGTCGGACGATGGTTGGACGATGGCCTGTCTGACGGGGAGATGGAAGTTTGCTCCCCGCTGGTGCCACCAATGCCGGTAGTTAGGAATGATCACACAGCAGTCTCCAAACGTCTTAAGTTACGGAGTTTTATGGGTTTCACTCCTTCAGAGAAACATGAACGCCCTCTGAAGCTCTTATCGCCTTGTAGAAAGAACGGCTTGTCAATCTACTACAGCATTTAGTGATGGAAGTAAAACCTGATAAACATCTTCCTACTGGGGCCGATTACAATAGGCCTGGGGTAGGTCTGTCCAAAGTCACATTACATACAGTAAAATGGGGATATTCCGTCAACCAAATCATCTATAACTGTGGAAATGAGCCTCGGAATATGCAATGTCTCGATGCAATGTACCATAGTCTACTTGAGGATGCCTGCATCGTTACAGATCTCATCGGATTCAACCACGAGGCAAAGAAATGTGTCCAGCTATGGCTGGGCAAAGTTTAGTGTTACTTATACTTGGACATGTTTAGATGAAGTTAGTAATAATAACATAAACTTTCTCATAAATACTCAATACTTTATTGCAATCATATGTTACAATTAAAGTTTAAAAGTAATTTTATTATCATCTTTGAAAAACTCCCTGCATTGTAAAAAAACTTTTAAAAGATCTGTGTTCACTTTCGGAAGTAAAAATTCAAGTTTGTTTCTGAGATTGTAATTTTGAGAAGGTGATTTTAATTTTAAGTTCTTACAAAGTGAGATGCGACGATCAGCGAGTATTGGGTTAGTGTGCAGGTTGAGGGCTGTTTCATGGCAAAGGTGTCGCAGGTGGTCTGGCTGGTCCGGTTTTGGCCGGACCAATAATTTACAACTCAATATCGTTCGTAGGCCAGATTCTACTTTCTCTGACGCAATCAAACATAACTTGCACATTCAAATTAGCAGGGGGCCGGCTGGGACCTTCCTCGAACCTGCCACTTTCCAGTGGTAAAACTAGGTTCCGATGGGCCCTTTTTCGAGAGTGCAGTGATCACACAGGTTAAGAATGCTATATCTAGAAAAATAATAAATTAACAATTTAAAATAGTAAAGTAGTCAAAAAGTAAAAAAAAAATCACTGTTTAAAACTTTAAAAAAAAATTTACTATGTGTATCTCAGAAACAGGCCAGCCATTTTAGTAAAGATTAAAACTATAAAATCCTAGCATTTTGCTATAAAATAATGGCAGCATGCTAATTAAATAAAGCATGTGTTATGTATACATAGGATACAGTATTCATATTCCTCCATGAATAAATAAAAATGCAAGAAACAGGAACAAAATTGTATTACTGTATATAATGTAATATGTATATATGTAATACGGATATTGTGAAATACATATAAAAAGATGCGGCCTAATTAAATTAACATGTGTTATGAATACACAGGGACACATGGTAAAATATGCTATGCATTATTTAGTAAACCTAATTAAAAATTACTGTAAGCTAGGTGAATACGTTAAATTTTCAAATAACAGGCTGCTAGTATATTATTTAGTATTATTATTTAGTAAAGTTTTGGTTTATTAATGGCCCATGTATAGAGGACCATGTATATAGATATTCCCATCATATTGACAGATCTACCAGGTGATAAATACTCAATAGAGCAATAAGAATCAGGGTCATTGACTTTGGGTGGAGGGTCAATATTAGAATAAGGTACTGTACGTTTCTACAGGGGTTCTACACAGGCCCTACAACAGTCCCGGTCAGGGTGGTAAGACAAACTCCAGGGAAAATCAGCAATTTTGATTAGATACTTATTAACTGATAGACACTTATTAATCAATTAAACTGATCGATTTACACTTTTTTGATTAAAATAATTACTGTGACATGCCTTAGACCGCCCAATATACATGCGTACAACCCGTGGCTGAGCTATGGCCCTGGTTCGAGACGAATACGTGTCAATTCTTTTAGAGTATTTTTGCAACATACTGAGCAGGACGTATGGTAATACATCGGCTAGAGTAAAACATAATTTTTAAATATATCTTTTCTACTGTTAAACCAATGTTTAACTACTATTACTTGTACGTACGTTAATATTCATGAAATCACATGGTGACAAATAAAAATGATAAAGCATGAACAGTTAAATATTTAGTACAAATATGAATGATTGAAATAATAGAAAAGTGCGTGTTTTGAGCTATAGACAAAGACAAAACTAATGAAAAGAAGTCATGTTAATGCAATGATGATTATGTATATTTGGCTGGACCAATAAAAAATAGCTTCCGACGCCACTGTAAGGTATAGGCCTACCAGGTGACACAATGCCCATTGCCCTCCTTTGAGTTGTTGATTCTAGGTCTGAACTTTGTTCCTTTGTCAAACAAGTCCACCAAACAGTACAGCAATATTCCAACACTGGTCTGATCCTGGCAATGTAGAAATTAATTAGATCATAAGTATTAAGGCTGATCACCGGAATTACTAGAGAAAGTAAAAGCTAGGACCGCATTTGTTAACAAGATAGTTAACATTGATCTGCAAGTTTAATTATCTATCAATATGAACTCCTTAACAGATGTAACAATGTGACAAAATTCTTGGAAAATGGGTAATAAACTCTTTAAAGCTTTAATAATCATTTCCTCAGATTAGTTACAATTTAATTTCATTCCATCATCGGAAGACCTCGTGATTATTTCATCAATACCCTCTTGAACATAAAAAATATCTCCAGACTCTATTTTTTGGTAAAAGGATGTATCGTCCATATATTTCATCATGGACAAATCACATTTAAGATCATTTATGAATGTAATAAATAAAACAGGGCCTAACCAAGAACCTTGTGGAATCCCACCACTTTGTTACTTAGCCATGACGAGAAGTAGGCTAGTTCTTAAAATAAAATTATTATAATATTGATAATCATAAAGATCCTGCAAATTATAATATTGAACATATTTAATTATTTTGACAATAGGTGAAAGAGCACATTAACGAAAGTTCCACCATCGACACTGACTTCTTAACTGAAACTGACCATGTAAGCATCTCTTGGTGGTACGTATTTCGCGATGAGTCAGGAGGCTTAAGTCAATTTGAAGTATCCCTCAGTACCTTTCCAGAAGGTAAGTGAATAAAGCCTCCAAATATTCTCAATCCAAACCGGTATAGGTATGTATAGTGGTGGCGCAGAAAATCCGTTAAGTGGATTGGAGTATTGTAAAATGAATAGATTTATTCCAGTAAATTTTAAAATATGTTGCTTTGTAGGCGAAGATATAGAGAGTTTTCAGGTTTTACCAGGAAATGTAGAACAACACACATTCCGGAATCTAGATTTGAAGAATGGGCAGCGCTACTATAGCAATGTCAGAGCCTACAACCATGCTGGTCTTCACACGTTAGTAGTGTCTGATGGGTTCGTAGTGGATCTTCAGCTTCCTGTTGCTGGAATGGTTCTTGATGGCAACGGTAGGTTTAGTAGGCCTAATTTTTGTATTTTTCTTCCTATGACTTTTTGTTTTTAACATTTTGTTCATTTAATTTTTTTAAAATTATTTTTAACTGAATTCTGAAATGTTGTATACCCCCAGGAATTCAAATTTTTTAAGCTGGTGGCCAGTTTCAATCTGTTGAGACCAGTGGCGGGCCGACGTAATTGCGTACTTCCACATTTTTTTAATGACAACCCTACCCATTCTATTGTATAGGGTCTGCAAGTCTTTCTAATTATAGGCCTATTATAATGTTGCCTTTAATTTTCAACTTCAAGTAGGCCTTGTTTTGTAAAAGTGAGTGAATTCAGTAATATATAAGGGGGAAGGGTGGGGATTAAAAACAAACCTTGCACCCCAGATTCTTCTGCCCAAACACATCGACTCAAGCAATAAGAAGAAAGACTAGTTAAAAACAACGCCATTTCCTTTTTTTTCATTTCAATTTTTATTTATATAAAAAAATATCAATATAAAAAGGGTTCACAAGTTGTAGCTCGACAGCCAAATTATATGTGAGCCTTACAATTTCAGTAATAATTAAGACAAGACAGTATATACAAAAATTAATTATAAATATAAGAATTGAGACAATATATTCAGTAATTATGATTATAAAAATTGAGACAATATGTACAGTAATTAATTATTAATATAAAAATTAGGACAAAATAAATAATTTAAAAAAAAACCATTAAAAAGTGAATACAGCCATAATAAAAAAAGAAAACAGAAACACAATGCACAATTGTGAAAACTCTCTGACGAGGAGTCCAGTATCCCCAAAATAAGCCACATTTACCTCGGCCCCACGGTGGTTGGCGCTGAGGTGAAACATTTTTAAAATAGACACCACTAGATGCCTGTAAGTGGCACTCTAAGACATAAAAATACGTTTTCGTCTGAGTGTTTTCAACTGATCGACCGCTGATCGCTGACTTCCCTAATGGTTAGCAAACGCACGGCACCATATTAGTGAACCTCACTTAATATTTCATCCCCATCAGTATCCCCTTCCCATGTCAATACTCTACGTCAAGAGGCCTAGATACAGTGAGCTACACTCGGAAAAAGCCAGACTCTTGAATGCCAGAGTAGGTGTTGTATTTCTATAAACAAAAAAACTATATAAGTACTGAAAATCAGCGGGAAAAATGATTTATGTTTTAGCAATGTTGCACTGGCCGGATTCAAATCTTTGGTGGGCCACAATTGTCCCTTGGGCTGGGGATTGAATACCAGATTTTTTTTAAATAGCTATTTTAAAGTAAATTTTTTTATTGCATACCATCATTTTTAATATGGTTTTGTAACAATTCTGTATTCAGTGTTTTTGTACACTTTTGATTTTATGAATAAATACTACTACTACTACTACTACTACTACTACTACTACTACTACTAATAATAATAATAATAATAAATGCTTAAACACAACTACGTGTGTAGTTAATTGGGATGATATCAGGAATAGAATTTTGGCCTACAATTGCATAATTAATTATTAGATCGCAATATGTACAACTCAAATATAAGAGCTAAAATCTAGAGAGTAGTATTTAAAGAAAAAAGGAAAACGGATTGTTTTCTTCAAATAAAGGCCTACTTAACATTTGTAACGTGTTGTTATTACAAGCTATTCATTATTTTTTGTGCCAGATCTCCATGACATTAAATACCAGTCATCACCTGCGGTTGTAAAAACATCGTGGCTTGGATTTGTAGATTTTGAGTCATTCACGAGCTACTTTGAATCTTGTATCGGCGAGACCGATGACCCAGAGGAGTGCAGAGTTAAGGAATGGCAAAGAGTTAAGATTGGTAACTCTGTTACGTCATATCTTTCCAGAAATCTAACTACTGGTAAAGACATTTTTCTCGATGAATTTGCATTTTATATTTTTTTTTTATCGTACTTTCCATTGGTTTTAATAATTTCGTCTTTCAAAAAAACTAGATTTTTCACTTTTATGGCCATATGCTCTCTTACATATTATGGCAAGCCTATTATATTTTAACATACACAGTTTGATATAAGTAATACACTCAATAAATATTTGGCATCAAATTAACACCAACATTTATGTGGTTGATGTTTCTAAAAACGTTCAAACACTCAAGATAAAATCCCATAAAACATTGTCTGTTGACTATTGATAACTCTATTAGTACATCTGTGGTATGAGGATATTTTAAGACGTTGTATAATACTAAACATTATGCTTAGGCCTATATATAACATAAATATAAGTCGAAAGACAGGACGCACTGTGTTGGTTGACGAATCCATCTGCTCTCTGTGAGGGATTAACGTCGCCACGGTCTTTGTCGCATTGCGGTTTCCTGGAACCGTGTCGGCCGCCGACAGTGGCGCAGAGGTGAATGATGCTAATAAATTAGCTGTTTGACGTCTGTATCTTCTTCTTTAAAGGATTGAGGTATTTTGCAAAAGTTCGAAGTTACGACGCAGCCGGCCATGTATCGCTAGTTTCTGTTTCCGATGGATTCATCGTCGATACCACACCACCAGAACCATTAGAACGTGTTTATTATGGCGAGAATATCATACAGAATCCTTCTTTTGAGGAGAGTCCACATAGTATTCCGTGGTCAGGACAACTAGAGGACAGTCCACAATGGATAGTTTCCAAGGAGCTATTACCTAATGGATGGAGTTTAATTAATAACTCTAGCTTAGTCGTTTATACGGCGGAGCATTCGCATGTTCAGGATGGTACATATTTTATCGTGCTTCAAGGTGGACTTACACAGTCGGTAAAGACAACACGAGGACATCATTACATTTTGATGTTTTATACAAAGTTTGTTACATCCTCATCCGTCCCATTGATTAACCAAGAGGGTTCTGTTCAGGCACCTGGTATACGTCGTGTTTTTAAGCTGTACAACAAGGACAATGGCAATCACATGCATGGAGGCAATGATGTTTGGCAGAAGCATGTCTATTTCTTCACTGCTGACACAACAGAAAGCAAAATTATCATATCTACAGTCAGTTTACATGGTATGATGATGGCAGATAATATAACAGTAAGTAACACACAGTATCTGTCGAAAGCCAGCATTGCTGGAAAATAAACTCTTATGTGCATTGTGTTTTAATAGTGAGAAAACATTTTGATGTGACAGGATTTGAACCCAGAACCCTAGATGTGGAATATACTGCCCTGCTCTGAGAAAAGGCATTAAGTAACAAAATCATAGTTTTGAGTAAATTAGCAAAACGCGTTTGAGTTTTTCCCAAGAAAAGTACAAATGATTTCAAATTTGTTAAACTATGGTTTGCTTAGATATATTATTTTAAAAATTGCCACATACTTTTCATTGATTAGTTTTATTATTAAGGGGGCCAAAATGGAGATAATGCCTTTTTTCAGAGTATTTATAACTATGAATATAGATAAATACTTTTGAAATCGGGCATTATCTGCGAAAGTGTTTATAAACATGCATTAATTATTACTTTATTGAAATGTATGTATATGAAATTTAATCTATAGATTTATAACATATATTTTATAAAAATATTGCTCCAAAAGCAAGTGAAAACTAATATTTAAAAATACTAAAATAGTTGAAATCGCAAAGTCTTCTATTTAATTTTTAAAAACC